TGCACCATAGCCGTAAGTTAAGTTGTAAGAAGTTGTCCTAGATTGAGTCACTTGCCTTGTTACCAAGGATTGTCCAAAGCGCAGGATGTGCTCAATGTTCACAGTGGACATAACAGACAATTCTTCATAAATAATTCATAGAAAGATATATAATTGATTTTTAGTTTATATTTGAGTAGTATCTATTAATTATTCTTTCGTTTAGATATTTTGAGTAGAATCTATTATATTTTTAGTCATAGGACCTTTTTTTAGTTTTAGCTAGCTAGTTTACGTGGTTCAGAGAATAACTCCTCTGAAACATTATAATTCATTGTGTAAAGGGATTAATAATTAAAATAAAAATTGTTATTTGAAATCATCTTATTTCCCACGTTTATTCAGTAATCGTAAAATGCACTTGGTGCTTTTTTTAAAAATATTTATTTTGTAATGTATTATTTTCACCCGCCTCTGACTACTTTGTGACAAAAAAAATTGTCATTCCATTCCAACCACGGCTTTCCTAAATTGGTGTATCTCTCTTAAATTTCCTCTTTAAGTTTGCGCTCAGTCTCCCTTTCCTTCGTAAAAATTACAGAGGGCGCCACACACGACTCCACCGCATCCTTTTTCCATTCGAAACCTATTTACATAATAATAAAAAGCAGGCACACGGGGCTTAATATTTCTTAGCGCCCCGCGAGCGAAATAACCTCGTAAAAATGAACCCGATAAGAAACGAACTTATTTCAAGTTACTTCTTATATATCCTTTCTTCTGATGTTTATCTGTGTGATATTTGGCACCGAATTGTTAAAAATCGGTTTTTAAGGTGAAAAAATTCAATAGTTATGTTTATAAAAATTTGACAGATTTTAAAAAAATTTGTAGCAACTTCAAATGGCGCACTGTATATGTACTATTTTAGAACTTGAAGTGATTTTCTTTAAACAAAATTAGACTACATGATTTTTTGTCTTCAAATGATCTTACAATTTTACTGTAACTTTTGTTTGTCTTCAGTTGACGTTGACATATATTGACGCTTAATTTTTACTCCGTCAAGTACCTTAAGTCTTGGTTAGTGGTAGCCATAAGTAGATTGGGAGAGCTACTCCACGACGGTAGCTCTCCTAGATGAGTTATCCCAGGAATAATTGCGACATTATGCGTTCCATTTGAGACACTGGGCGATAGCCTCATGTAACCAGCCTTCTTCTGATAATGCGGCGTTTTGTTAGGAGTGACAAATCATTTCTTTATACTCGTAGAATTTAAATGAATATTAAAGACAATAAGAACAAAAACGAAAATAAATTGGAAGCATCTTTTGCATGAATAGATGTGGGGATGACGACAGAAGCCAGTTTCTCCAGAGGAACGGGGGCCAGCATTCACACTGTTTCTACGAAGATAGTATAAAAGATGGGTCCTAAAAAATAAGTATAGCTTTGTTCAGCAAGCAAGGAAGAACCGATGGACAAAAGAGAGAGCTTTACGACAACAGCACGCTTTAAAAAGGAAAGACAAAGAGTTCTAGGGATGTGAAAGATGCGAATTGGAGATCAGCTGGTACCACATTTAATGTAGGACTGGATGGTACCGAGCCAATAGCGTTGTGTTCCTATGCCTTAAAGGTGACAGTTCCAATAATTTTATAGATGCAAAACAGGGAGAACTAATAAGAACTACACTGTTTGAAAGGCTGAAAAAATTAAGCGAAAAAGAACCTGTACCTAGGTTATTAGAAGCTGACATTAGAAACGTAAGCTTATACCCTTCCTGCGTATTTCAAAAAACAAGAATAAGATTAATCAGACCGTTAAATTCATAGTATTTTTATTAGATGCTAAACTCTGGGGAAGTAGTTAAACTCTAAACCCAAGTCTACCATGACATGGATACCGGGATTAGTAGTGAAACTGGAACCTGTAATGAAGAGACTGAGAATCCAAAATTACAGTACTCCAAACGGAAAACTGGAGTTTCTGGAAGGAAGTTGGATCATAGGGAATAGAAACTTCTCGTAAACGTGGATCTAGTTTCTTGGAAGAATATAAAGGTGAAACGAGATATACTGTTCCTGCATTTCTCCATTTATTTTGATAAAATCTAGTCACAACGAAATAGGTATCACTTATTTAAATTGTTATAACTCCAAAAAGAGAGGAGATACTTACCTTAAATTGTGTATTCTTAGAGTATATGTATGTGCCTCTAAGAGTGTGCAAGTTTTAATTGTTAAACATTAAGCAAAAACTTATGTGTATGCCCTCCTCTGGCTCTTAAAACTTCGACATAACGTCTAGGCATAGATTCTATTAGTTGACGAATCGTTCCTTGAGGAATATTGTTCATTCCTCCTAAAGTTGTACTGCTAACTCCTGTAGATTATTTGGCTTTTCTCGATCCCGCAATCTTCTTCCCATGATGCTCCAAAGATGTTTAATGGGGTTTAAGTCAGGGCTGTTGGCTAGCCACTTTATTACAGTAAGATTTTCCTCTTCAATAAAGTTTTGAACAATTCTTGCAGTGTGGGGCCATTTGAATTATCTTGTTGTTTAACAAAATTAGGGCCTTCTAGATGAGCTAGTGGAACGACAATAGGTGCTATTATCTCATCGATATAACGCCTAGCTGTTAGAGTGCCATTTTCAAAAACATGTAAGCGTGTACGCCCCTTCAATTGAATACCTTCCCAAACCATTACAGAACCACCGCCAAAAGCTCTTACTTCTCTTACATTGCAATCCAAAAATCGTTCTCCACGGCGTTTATAGACTCTCACACATCCATCGTTGGAGTAAAGGCAAAATCTTGATTCATCCGTGAAAAGAACATGGCTCCATTGATGAATATCCCAATTTTCATGTTCTGCTGCAAAGTTTCTTCTTGCTCTACGATGAGCTGGTGTTAAATGAGAAACAATAGTTTGACTTCTTGAGTGTAGTTGGGCTTCATGAAGTCTGTTACGTGTAGTCTGTAGAGATATGCGTCTATCAGTGGCCTAAAAATGTAAGTTTCTTATCTGAGTAGCTGTTCTTGTCCTATTTTGTAGAATAATCGTACAATTTGGCGGTCCTGTCGGGGCGTAGTTATTCTTTCTCGTGGTGTTTATAGTCTTCTACGGATGGGATAATACCTATGTCTTGAAATATATTCCACATTCGGTGAATCGTTGGTTGACTTGTTTGAAGCAAGCAGGCTACGTATCTCTGCGAACGTCTTTCTTGTAATAGTGTAACGGCTCTTGCTACTTCAATTTCACTTAGATGCCTTCTTTGTACAATAGACCTTCCAAGAATATCGTTATTTATAATTTCAAGTCAATTGTTAATGTTACAAACAATTTAATTGGTATACAAAGTAAAACTAAATGTATCAGATACTTTTAATTTTTGCGTATATATTTTTTTTCTCACCTCCTCATACAAAAGTTTTGTTTTTTATATTGAAAATATCCATTAAGAGTGCTTGTTATTTGTATAAATTTTAATGGAATATACGGGGGACATTTAAAAAGATTTAAATAATTAATTCAGTGATACCTATTCGTTGTGATTAGTTTAGATTGGAGGAAAGACGGAAACTGCTCGATAGAAGAAACTCCTCTTGATATTTATCACATAATTTTCAGCCCATGGTCGTAGAACCACAAGAAAGTGGGGCTACAGAACAAGTGACTGAGTCTTCAATAGAAATATAGGGTTGAGAATCCACAACAGAGGAGCTAGGTCAAGGCGAGATGAGGTTCTTTTTAGGAAATTCATCGCTATATGAGCTGGTAAATGAAGGTAATACAAGTACATATACATCAGTGTTTGGCATCAATAAAGTATAACAAATCAAAACATAGATCTTGCTCTAATCCAAGAATCTCTTGTATACAAAGGAAGAATAAGAGGGTTGTACACAACAGAAGAATATGACTTGATTTGCTCAACATATGGACATCCGAGAACTTGCAATATTAAAAAGGAAATCTTGAAGATATTTCACTATGATAATTTTGTACGAGATACCTAGTAACGATATCTCTCAAGCTATCTGCAATACGATTAATCTGGATTTTCAAATTCCCAACATCAGAAAGCGTCAAAAACTGGGAAAATGGGGCAATACAAAACGAATCAATCTGGTATTCAAACAGTTGGAAGATGAAAAACAGCAAACCTAAGCAACAGTCTTCTAGGGTCACTGGCAACAGTCTTTCAGGCTAAAGTAACAACAATAAATGTATGTGCCCAGGTTGTGCTAAATTATTTTCTTAGAAGCCCTGGCATAACAAGGACAAGAGGTAATATTGTGACGAGAAAACATATCTCCTAGCCAAAAAGGGAGATGAGAAAACTCTAATTGGATCAAAAAACACAATGTAGTATTCCATATCAACATGTTATAGGGATACTACTGGAACATATAGGGTCCCTGTAGCTGACAAAATTAACTACCAACCCTTAACAGCATCGAAAGAAATACCTTAATAGTACTCCTTTGCCCAACATTGCTGCCTTTAGAAACAATTAAATATCTTATGGATGTCTGATGACTCTCTATGTAAATTATGTAAAATGCAAGACGAAATTTCCATTCACATACTCTGATATTACCGTGACCTTAAATAGGAACGAAAATGGCACTTCGGGGTACAATATCCGGAACCTGAAGAAATCGTGAAAGCGTAAATCAAACATATTCTTGAATTCATCAAGATTATTAATCTGATGGGGTAGAAATTGAGAGCCTCAGTACAAGTGGAATTTATATCATACCCTAATTAATATTAGTTTTTATAGTTAAAATAAATTATAAATATGTTTATTTTGTACATAATGACTTTTCTACAATTTGAAATCATCACATTTTATTATTTTATAATTTAACAAATTTAATATTTCAACTACTTCAGTTTAAGAGGTAAGATAAAGATGAGGATTTTATTTTATCTTTAGCGGGGATTTTTAATTTAATCATGTAAATTGTCCGATAATATATAAAGTAAATAAGTATATAAATAATTGCAAACAATACAACTGTATCATTAAATAATAAAAAATAAAATGAAGTACGCAGCATTTGTGATTTTATTTACAGCCTTTCTGTATTCAGTTTCAGCAGGTAAGTTTGCAAAATATTTTTTCGTTATAATATTGAAAGTTGGAATAGTTTTTTTCCTGTAATCTTTATTTTACTCATTGTGATTAAAGTCCAAGTATTTTTTACTAAGTTGAAAGTGTTTCTCTTTAATGGCATGTGGATTTTCATCTGCGTAAACATGTTCGTTATGTGAATTTTAAACCACGTCGTGTAAAGCATGACTCGTCTGTTAACAAAATTTTTCTGTGAAAAACTGGATCGGCCACTCTGTGCTCTTGAATAACTTGTACAAAATGCAAACGAGACTCATAATCAGGAGGTAGGTTCCTGGACACTTTTAATGTGAAAGGGATACATAAGGTGTTCTCTAATTATTCTGTTGGATGTGCTTTTTGAAATCCCATTTTGGCGTGCCAGTCGTCGGGTACTAATTCCGGGATTATTTTCAACTATTTCAAGTATTCCCTCCTCTGCAGCAGGAGTTCTAACATGACGAGGTCTTCCAGCATTATTTCTGTTCGGTTTCAGTTGACCAATTTCTCGAAGTCGCCTCTCGATAGAAGTAAAAGTCTGGTGATTCGGAATCTGTCGATTTAGAAATCTTTCATGGTATACCCGAACACTCTCACGGCAGTTGCCATTACAGAAACCAAGCACTAGCAACATATCAGTTTGTTCATTGAATGTGTACTTCATACCAATCACAAAATGTTTGAAATAACTCCTTCACAAAAACTTTAAATCGAAACAGAAAAAATACAATACATACATAAAATGAGTAGTATCGACAATTTTTACAGTTCTACAACATACATATCTGTCAAAATTATCAAATTGTTTATTGTAACGTTGACAACCGCCAACTTAGTTTTCTTGAAAATTTTAAGTGACTAACCCTCAGTCCATAAATTTTTTTTTACTCAAATACCATGAGAGATACATGTTTTTTGCAAGAGAGAAAAAATACTACAAAGAAATATAGCTCTCCACAAAAAAATTTAGGGAACAGGGGCGGCCCTGAAAAAAAAAATACGATGTCATTTATGGTAGGATTTTACCCTTCTATAATTTCAGTTGGTGTAATTTTTGCTTTGAACAATGGCTCTTCAATTAAAATAGCTACACACCAAATTTTATAAAAATCGAACGAAGCGTTTTTGTATTATTAAAAAAAATTGAAAATGTTCTTCCAACTTTGAAGCTTCCTCACAGGCAAACGATGGACTTTTGGCTCAATCGACTTATTTTGATCTCACCAACATACAGTAGATCTATGTACACGGAATTTTGGGACACCCTGTATAAGCTGTTAACAACGGCAGGTTCAACTTTTAACTTCTGGAGAAGCGGGTGATGTAAGGCTCTACAATTATCAATACCACAGGATATTCTGCTTCTACATAACGTCTTAGTGGTTTTTCTTTAAAAACAACAAAAGCGTAATTTTTTTCAGTCACCACTTTCCAACGTGACTCTATATCGTCTACTTTTATTCGTGGACATTCTGCCTCATGTGTTTCATCATCGCAGTAACTGCACTTATTCTGATTAGTCTCTGAAGATCGACTAGTAATAAGGACTCTTTCTGTTTTCGGCTTTGAGACATAAGCTTTGGAACTACTCTTTTCTGTCTTCTCCCAGCTCAATGTAATGATATAACTTATTGCTTTGGCTAGGTATATTACCAATCTGATGAAGTCTCCTAAATCAACATTTCCATCCCTCGTTGCTACTACTTGTCCCCCAAATATGTGAATTTTACGATATTCTTTGAATTTAATAAAAATGACTAAACATTAGAGAATTAAGAAAATTAAACACACTGACCTATATTCTTGACACCCGACACTATTTTTTAATTAATAGCCGAAAATGAGGTTGTAGATAACGTTACAAGTTTTTCTTGTAATGATTTTTGCAAATTAAATTGATTTTCGCATGATCTGTGGAAGACGACCGACTTTTTTTGTTTTGCTTTTTTTTTAATTACAAAAAAAATTGTTTTAGCTGATCTAAAATGCAATGCTTTAATCTGTTTCAAAGACTGTCAAGCAAAAGGTCATCTTGGGGGTAATTGTTATGGAGATGATTTAGAAATATGTCAGTGCTATGACCAATATTCACAAACAATTGGTACTTACTTATTTCTGAAATACTTCTTGCAAATTTTAAATTAATTTTCCTTTACTCTGCAAGAGGCGACCGACTTTTTGTGGTTTTTTTTTAATTACGAAAAAAATTTCTTTTAGCTGATCCAGAATGTACTGTTTCATCCTGTTCCAAAAAATGTCAAGCAAAAGATCATTTTGGGGGATATTGTTATCAAGAAGATGGAGAAGGTCGAGAAGTATGTCACTGCTATGACCTACAATCACAAAAAAAGGGTAATGACTTGTTTCTGTAATACTTCTTGCAAATTTTAAATTAATTTTCCTTTACTCTGTAAGAGGCGACCGACTTTTTGTGTTTTTTTTTAATTACGAAAAAAAAATTGTTTTAGAAGATGAACAATGCACTGTTCCTGCCTGTTCCAAAACCTGTCGAACAGAAGGTCATTTTGCGGGAAATTGTATAGGAGAAAATTTAGAAGTATGTCACTGCTATGACCTACATTCACCAAAAAATGGTACTTACTTTTTTCTGTAATACTTCTTGCTAAGGCGGCTCCAGGGGGGCATGGGGGCCATGCTCCCCCCGAGAACAAAGATTTATGAGCCTTTTATTCAACAAAATATGCTAAAAAAATATATATCTAAATGCAATGCCCCCCTCCCCCCGAAAATTCGTCGCCCTTGACTTCTTGCACATTTTAAATTAATTTTCCTCTACTCTGTGAGAGGCGACCAACTTATTTTTTTTATTTCAAAAAAAAATTGTTTTAGATGATCCAAAATGCACTGTTGCTGCCTGTTCCAAAACCTGTCAAGCAGAAGGTCATTTTGATGGTAATTGTTTTGGAGACAATTCAGAAATATGTCGCTGTTACGACATAGTATGATTGGAAAAATCAAAAAAATTATAAAAGAAGTTTAAAAAATGTTGTGTATTAGGTACAATGGTTTAAGATATTTTGTTTATTTTGAATAAAAAATTGTTTTCTTTTGCTTCCATGATTTTTTTTATTTTTCATTCATTATTTTATAAAGGTGTTTTAAAATGAGTGCAAGATATGAATTTCGCGCCATTTTCTTGGACTAAAAATTTAATAACCGTAGATTGAACGTTAAGTGAACAACCCAGATAGCACACGACGTCTTTTTTGTGTCTTGGTTTGGTCTCAATGTCCTAAGACGTTATTAAGACGTCTTGCAAAAGCCATAATTCAGACGTATTAATGTGAGAGCTCAAAGACATTCTTAAGACGTCTTGCCAAATCCATATATTAATGAGAAAGCTCAAAGACGTCTTTAAGACGTCTTACGAACGTCTTTCAGTCGGACGGAAACTTGCACGGTTTACATAATTCAAATTTAACAAGAAAAATCAAATGAAGTGAAGTTTGACGTTTGATTTAACATTATATTCATATATTCAAGCCGGACTTCCGATTCGGACACCATCGTGGCAATATTGAAATGGCGTTCTCCGAATCGGGAGCCAAAAAATCCCATATAAATCACAAAATATCTAAACTACGCCGCAGATGAAGTGGGACAGCCAAAAAATTGCCTAATTTTGACTAGCTGTAACTTCGACATTTCTTTGCCGATGTTAGATTTTCAGCCAGAGGTGGAAAGCGCCATCCTTGCTGTTTGCGTCAGTGGCATTGAATATATTTTTTTTAATAGCTTCTTGTTGTACAGGGTGTGAATGTAAGGCAGCGAAAAATGTCCGTTTTTTGGCAAAGAATTTGGAAAATATGGGGGGCCAAATCAAGTTCTTTCTGATGTTGAGTGGATCACTAGGTCGACACCTCGGAATATCTTTGCCATTTTTTTGATACTTTGCGTTGCTATGGAAATATCGCCATTTTATGAAATTCCATATTTCTTTTAGAATTAGCCTTTTTTTAATTAAAGAATAACAGATACCGACTAAACTGCATCAAGGAATAACGTGTAAAGAAAATGGTCAACACCAGCGGCGTGCAAAAAGGGGTTTATGAAATTTAAAAAACGAAAACTTGATTTTATTTGAAATTTTTAACACTTTTGGTAAGCGTTACAGTTTAAAAGGTGCCATAACTGTAATGAGTTTGATTTTAACTAATTCAGAGGAATACAAAAGTAAAGCTACCCACCCTGTAAGCGCTTACTGATAGTGTCAGTAAGCAATAATAGGTACTTACCATTTTTGCATTTGTAAGTCGGGACATTTGCTTTGACGAAACTTTATTTCTGCAATGTTATCAAGAAGGCGACAAAAATATTACCATAGAGATAAGATTTTGACGTTAGATTGCATAAGTCAAAACAAAAATAAATTGCTATTGTCCAAATGGCGCGACTTACGGCTGCAGATTTGGTGAATATTTTAAGATTGCGGCAGAGAAATCACACAATAAGAGAGATTTGTGATTTTCTTAATGTCAAGAAATCATCCGTTGGAAGAGCGTTGCAGAGAGAATGTAACAATGGTACTGCTGCTTACCGACACGGGGGAGGATCTCGAAAAAGAACTAATCCTCGTCAGGATCGAGCAGTAGTACGGACTGCAATCAGAAACAGAGTTTGGACTGCCAAGAGAATCCGAGCGCAACTGCAGTTAAACGTTTCAGCAGACACTATTAGAGGACGCCTACATGATCAGGGATTAAATGCTCGCCGTCGGCCAAAATGCCCACTTTTAACTGACATTCACCGGGCCAACAGGAGAAGATGGGCCCAAGAACATATAAATTGGGATCGTAGGTGGAGAGACTGTCTTTTCGTTGATGAAAGCCGTTTCAACCTCTACAATTCCGACGGCCGATTGCTATCTTGGCGGAGACGGGGAGAACGTTATTTAGCAGAAAATATGCGTCTCCAAGTTGCATTTGGCGGTGGTGGATTGACGGTTTGGAGCGGTATTTAACACAACGGAAGGACAGAACCTTTCGGGGTAATGTAAACGGCCAGGTTTACCTGAATGAATGTTTGATTCCGCTAGTTCTCCCGCATGCTCGAAATTATGGCGAGGATTTTGTTCTTATGGACGATAATGCTCGTCCTCATCGAGCATTATTAGTAAACGGATATATACAAGAGCAAAACCTTAATCGTACTGAATTGCCTCCTAGATCTCCAGACTTAAATCCTATTGAGCACGTCTGGAGCTGGATGAAGTTTGAGTTTTCCCGAAGGGAACGTCAGCCAGAAACTCTAGACGATCTCGAGGAGATGATTTTAGAGCTCTGGGAGGCAGTTCCTATGGAGCTAACTAATAACTTAATTTCGAGCATGCCAAGGCGGTGTCAGGCAGTTATTCAGGTTAGAGGAGGTCCAACGCCTTACTAATTAATAACTAACAAATATTTATTAAGGTTAGGTTAGGTTTATTTTAATATTCTAATGAATTCTATGTACACACTTTATAAAATAAAAACCAATAAAAAAATTTTTTTTTAATTACTGAACCCTTTTCGTACGCCTCTGAATTAGTCAAAATCAAACTCATTACAGTTATGACACCTTTTAAACTGTAACGTTTACCAAAAGTGTTAAAAATTTCAAATAAAATCAAGTTTTCGTTTTTTAAATTTCATAAACCCCTTTTTGCACGCCGCTGGTGTTGACCATTTTCTTTACATGTTATTCCGTGATGCAGTTTAGTCGGTATCTGTTATTCTTTAATTAAAAAAATGCTAATTCTAAAAGAAATATGGAATTTCATAAAATGGCGATATTTCCATAGCAACGCAAAGTATCAAAAAAATGGCAAAGACATTCCGAGGTGTCGACCTAGTGATCCACTCATCAGAAAAAACTTGATTTGACCCCCCACATTTTCCAAATTCTTTGCCAAAAAACCGTCATTTTTCGCTGCCTTACATTCACACCCTGTACAACAAGAAGCTTAAAAAAAAATATATTCAATGCCACTGACGCAAACAGCAAGGATGGCGCTTTTCACCTCTGGCTGAAAATCTAACATCGGCAAAGAAATGTCGAAGTTACAGCTAGTCAAAATTAGGCAATTTTTTGGCTGTCCCACTTCATCTGCGGCGTAATTTAGTATAAAAGTGACCATCCGAATTTAAAAAGTATACAAAATTAAACAAAATATTCAGTGTAATATTTGGAGAAGACAATTGAAATCAAATATCAAGTAAAGTGAAAAGATAGCAATGAGCCCATATAAAACGAAGAAAAGAAGAAATACATTCAAGCCCAAGCCAAAAATGTGTATGGCCCAAGCTCATTGTGGATTATTGATTATTTTATTAAGTACACGATTATAGCCACCAAAAGCGACTTTGGGCTATTTTGAGCATTTTTCTCTTTCTACTTAAATAATATGGGACAAAAACCAGAGAGGGAAGAATAGTGTTACCGATGTAGCACATTCCTGAAATGCAGGTAATAAATGAATATTTGTTTATATACATAGAACATTAATATCCCGTTTCTTCTAAGAATAATTAAATTAATTTAAAAGTAAACATCTTAATATAAGATTTAATTCAGATATTCGTCAAGTATCATTTTTGTTTGTTTTTATGAAGATTTTGAGAACTAATAATATCAAAAACTCCCTATTAGATAGCCATTTTGAGTGAAGTTAAAGTAAAATTGTTAAAGTAGGCGATTAAGCATAATAGCTCATATTGCATTAAATGATTATAAAAATTCTTTCATTTAAAATTCTAAGAAATTAATTTTTTTTTGTTTTATAGATAACTGTTCTGTCGGTTTTTACTAGCTTAAGCAGTAAAAATAAAAAAATAAAATAATGTTTATTGCTAATAGTACATATACATATAAAATGTTATTACAATATTACATATATGAATGATTAAGAATAAACATGGATATCCCGCTGAGGCATTTAACATGCCGGTGTGCAGGAGATCTATAAAATGTGTGCCGTAAAATAATGTTTTAAATAATTGATTTCTTCTTTAAAATAACTATAAATTTATGTACTTATAAAAATAATTAAAAACTACACAGAATAAATAATGTCCCGGCAAACACAAACATGTAACATATATGTATCATTTACATGTATACTAGTTCCGTGTTACATAACAAAGTAACTTACATGTTACATAATAACTCACGTGATTACTGTGAAAAATGACCTAATTTTGTTATATAGCAGGTTCTTTATATGTGATGTAATGGGTTAAGTATATGTAAGGAACAGTGTTATATATCGGAAGACATGTAACATTTATATTACCATTGTAACATTTAATATGCTTCATTATTACAGCACATATACATTACTTTTTTCATATAACATTAGTATTATAAATGTTATATAAATGAAGGTATGTAAATGTGTCGTCTAAAAATTTACGTATTAGTTATACAGTATGTCTACTTAAGTTGGAACCATATGTAAAACTTTTATATTATTGGTTTTGTGAAAAAATGGATTTTTGATAAAAAGTTCTGCACGGCCAAAAACTTAAAATGCAATTATTAGATATAAATTTTTTTTAAGCTGTATATACGAAGTTTGTCTAAAAATATGAATTTTACTCAAGAGTAAAGTACCTTTATTTTTACAATACAGAAGAATATTATAAAGTAAGGTTATTTTGAATTAAAAGTTATATTTAAATATGCAATTACAGTCATTTAGCCTAAAAATTCAGGTTAGTTGATTATTTACGTTTTACATTATAAATTATTTGTAGTTATAAATTAATTAATCACCGAACCTGAATTTTAATACTAAATGGCTGTAATTGGATATTTAAATATAACTTTTATTTTAAAATAACTTTACTTTATAACATTCTTCTGTACTGTAAAACATAAAGGTACTTTACTCTTGAGTAAAATTCATATTTTTTAGCGAACCTCGTATGCAGCCCACAAAAATTGATATCTGATGGTTGCATTTTAAGTTTTGGACCATGCAAGATTTTTTATCTCAAATAAATTTTTTCACATAACCAATAATAAAAAAGTTTTCCATATGGTTCTAACTTAGGTAGACACACTGTATGACAAATACT